ATTGAAAGACCCAGAGACCAGAAGGTTAATAACATTTCTCTCAAAAGGGCTTCCAAATATGGTTGTCTGGGAGCCCAGGCCCATCTTCACATGTCCGCTGTAGACATGTCTCCCCATTTTGAACCCCTTCTGCCACCAAATGACTACATCTTTGAATCCAAATATATATACCCAAAGTTGAGGCCATAGGTGAGAACAAGCTCCCTCTCCATCCAGCATGAGACCTGCCTTCCCAAATTCATAGCCTCCTCTGCTGAGACACTGACAGAGGCAGAGCTTAACTTCCTTCTGGGAAGATCTTGCCCCAGAGCCTGGCCTTGGGAATCTCTATGCGAAACCAAAACCAATACCAAAAACAGGCTCCATGTAGAGGGAAAATTGTCTTACAGAAACCCTTTTGATCACTGCCCTACAAGTTCTGAGTGTCATCCCCAACAGAAGAAGCCTCACCATAAGTAGTAGGGAGAACAGAATTCCTTTTGAAAGGGAACCAGTGAAACAATGTCGTCCTTCTATTACATGGCCAGCATTTGTATCATTTGTATTCATAGGCTGTTAGATTGAAATGGAGAGTAGAGATTATTCAGCCAAGTGAAGGTCCCCCCTTTTACAACTAGGAAACTGAGGCCCAGAAAGGGAAAGTGATTTTCATACTGTTGGCTAGTGGCAAAGGTGGGGCTAGAATTTAGCTCTTCTGATTCCCAGCCTAGTACTCTTTAAAATATTGATCCATTCCATATAGCGGAGCACATAGACTGCGTACATAAACCTTAATTCAAATACAGACTAGGTTGCAACAACGTGGAATAAATTTCTGAATCATCAGTGAATCCAAAATGGCAGTCTAAGTAAGCCCTCTTGGATGAAGGGCTCTAACCACATGAATGTAACCGTGGAGGGAAAATATTTCAGAAGTTCCCTAATGCTAGTCAGTTCTGTCTCCTAGATGCCTCTTAAATCTATCCCTCTCTCCTGTCTTTCTGCCTCCACTTGAATCAACCTAGAGAAACCATTTCATCATCTCAGAGTGACTAAGAATAAAGTCCTAGATCGTCACCATGGACCAGAGGGGTCTGGGTGTCCTGGTCTCCTCTTGTTTTTCCAACTTCCCTCCCTTTTACCCTTCCCTTCAGTCTCTCTGCTCCAGTCAGGCATGGTTCCTCAAAACTCCTTGAATAAGTCATTCTACCCCCCGCCCCCTGCTCCAACCTCTTTCTCTATTGGTTCTGCCTAGAAATCTTTTGCTCCTTTCCACCTAGATCACTGTCCCCCCACAGGACATTTTGCAATATCTAGACACATATTTTCGGTTGTCACAACTGGCATCTAGTAGATAGAAGCCAGGGATGTCATGGGGCATCCCCCTATGACAAAAAGTTCCCCAGCCTAAAATGTTTAGAGTGCTAAAGTTGAGAAACATTCAGTCTTCAGAGCCCTGCTTAAATACTGCTTCTTCTATGAAGCCCTCCCATGATACTTTATGTTGGTTGAGGGCCCCTCCCTCAGTGTACTCCCTCTCTTCCCTTCTCCTTCTCAGTCTTGGCACATGGGAATATTCGAGATAATAGAACATCTACCTTCCCCACCAGCCTGTTAGCTCCAGGACAGAACAGAGCCTTCGCCTCAACACTGACCCCAGCACTCTGTACAGGGTCCCAGTGAAGTTAGCTATTGCTTTTTCACCTTGTCGACCCTGGAACACAGAGAAAGGTAGTTTACGCAGGTGATGTGGCTTTTACCAGGGGTTACATGGCTTTTGAAAGGCTTCATGCGCAGATCCACAGATACCCATGGTCAAGAGCATAGTGTGGAGATCCTGGCAGAAAGGGATAGATATCATAATTCTTCCACCCTACTTGAGTGACTTTGAGCAGGTTACTTAAATTCTCTGGAATGGGTTTCATCATCTACAAAAGAAGCATCAAAATAGAACCCGTTTCATAGTTACCGTGAAGATGCAAAGACATAGTACAAGTAAGGTACTGAGCACCACCTCTGACATAGGCTAAGGGATTAACCAGTGAGGGGAAGCAAGGGCAAGGGGATTATGTGACCACAGCCCATGGGCCCTGGGGAGTGGACATAGGGATGCAGAAGGAACATCAGGAGACTGCCAGTCAACCTCTCCTGAACTTTCTCCACTCTAAGGATGTGCCTATAAACATCCCATCTTACCTCTCTCTTGGGCTTGTTACATGAACCCCAAATAGTTCCCCACCCAAACTACAGGGGCATCTAAAAATCACCTATAGGTAGGGCTGAGGGTAGCTTTCCAGATTGTTTCTTACCCTCTCCATCTCAGACCCTCTTAAGAGCCCTGGCTGGCACCACAGGTATCTTGCTTGGATTCCACCCCCGGCCCAGCTTTCAGGACGGCAGCCCATTTGGACCCAGGCTGACTCTAGATTTGTCCATCTTCCTGGGCTCTGCCTGTGGTGTCAGCAGGGGCCCCACACCCTGCAACCTGCCTGGCCCCACCTCCCACGAGATCTGAAACTTATTCCACCTCCAGGTATCACAGTTCCCACGGGATCTGGATCTACAGGGGAATTCAAAACATTTTCAATGAAGGATTCCCAGAATTTGATGGCTAGCCTTTCTTTTCCCCTGGGAGAGGAAGATCTTTTCCATTTCCAGGCCTCTTTGCTTCCTTTCCCCCACCACCCCACCCTCATTTTAGGCAATTGAAAGCTGTTTTTAAAAGAAACGAAGGCCCATTTCCTATACTGCTCAGGTCAGCAAACAGAAGTGTCTGTCTGAAGATGGACAGGAAGAGGTTTGCCCTGCCTGGGCAGAGAGGACACCAGATGCGGCACATGGAAGCCCAGACAGGAAATCCTTTAGTTCTGGGATCAGGTGTTAGAGCTGAGTCCCACACAGGTAGCAGTGAGATTCCTGCACAAGAACCCCTTGACAGAAACCCCTTCCCATCCGCAGAGCTGTGTGGAGCCCCAGGGTGGGCTCCAGGGGCTTGGGGGTGGGAGGGGTCCCTACAGAGGAGGGAGGAGAGGAGAGGAAAGAAAGGGAACTGGTGGCATCGGCTCAGTGGGATGGACTCTCGACTGCCAGCCCATCCTGGTTTTCTGTGACCACAGATGCCCACACCCAAGGAGGGTAGCAGCCTATCACTTCTGTCTATTTATTTGGTTTTCTCCCTTGGGGCCTGTGAAACCTGATGGGTCAGTTTCTAGATCTGGGCTGATTCTCTTGCACTTCCTGGTTCTCACACCTTCAACTTCAGACTGTGTGGTTCACCTCCCCCTCAGTCGGCAAAAAGGATGTGGGTGGGTATTTTTTTCTTGCCCAAAATGTCCAATGAAAAGTCTGATCTCCTAATCAGCAATTCTTATCTCTGGGAGTTATTTAAAGGATCAAAACAGCTGAAGGTAGACCTCTGAAGATTTAAATCAGTGACTTGCCTCTATCCCAAAGAGAGAAGGGCTCCTTCCACGTGGGAGGAATCTGAGCACAGGGAGCAGGCATCAGCCTTCTCTCCCACCACCCAGTCTGGTCTTAGCGGGAAGAGCACTTTTGCCTCCTACGTGTCTCTCTCTCTCTCTCTATTAAAAAATATTTTATTTATTTGAGAGAGAGAGAGAGTGAGCATGAGCAGGGGAAGGAGCAGAGGGAGAAGCATACTCTCCACTGAGCAGGGAGCCTGACGCAGGGTTCGATCCCAGGACCCCAGAATCATGACCTGAGCCTAAGGCAGACAGACACTTAACCTCAACCAACTGAGACACCCCGACACCCCTGCCACCTATGTCTCTTTTTATTCACTTCGAAGAAGCAGACAAGTGCCTTTCTCTGCCTTTCCCCCTCCTCCTTTCTAGTAATCCCTCCAATGTGTATAACACAATCTTTGCTCAATCCCTACTAACCATGTGTGTGATCACATGGAGGGGTACGTAGCTCAGGGCGGGGAGTTGGGGGAAGTAGGGGAGGCCACTGGGCACACAAGGGAAGAGGGCATCACTCTCCAGGGTCTCGCGAGCTTCCTGGCCCTGTAGCTGATTGCTGGTGAGAGAAAGCTTCCACAAGAGATGGTTTACTCCAAGATGGCTGATAGAAAATAGGAAGGGTCCCCACCACAGGCCCCTGCCAGCCTCAGCTGGCCATCTTTTTCCTGTGTTTCTTCCCATCATGTCACCCCTGTGTACTTCCGTCTTCTGTCCAAACTTCTCCCTTATCTTGGTCTGTTTGGGCTGCTATGACAGTAGCAGAGACTTAGGAGGCTCAAACCAAACAATTTATTTCTGACAGTTCTGAAGGCTGGAAAGTCCAAGATCAAGGTAGTAGATTCGGAGTCTGGGGGGAATCTGCTTCCTGGTTCATAGACAGTCGTCTTCTTACTGTGTCCTCTCATGGCGCAAGGGAAAGGGAGCTCACTAAGATCTTTCTTAAGAGAGCGTTAATCCCAATCATGACAGTTCAGCCCTCATGACCTACTCACCCTGAGAGTGGTGGGGAGAAGCAGACTTCCTGCTGAGTGCAGAACCCAATGACACAGGCCCCATCCCAGGTCACAGGCCCCATTCCAGGTTGCAGGCTCCATCCCAGGACCCTGAGACCATGACCTGAGCCAAAGGCAGACGCTTAACCGACTGAGCCACCCAGGCGCCCCTATAGTGAAGATGCCACTCATACTGTATTCGGACCCATTCCAACAACCTTATTTTAACTTGATTATCTTTTTATAAAGATCCCGTTTCCAAATAAGGTCACATTCTGATTTACTGGGAGTTAGGATCCAACACATCTTTTTGGAGAGGACACAATTCAACCTATAATACAAGGCTAAATAATTCACTCAAGGTCACACAGCTTGAAGGTGGGTCCCAGACCCTGGTTTATTTGATGACAGATCCCATGGCATGTACCCCCAGCATAAAGCCCCAACACTACTAAATCTTTTCTGGGCAGGGAGAAAGACCCACAGAAAGACAATGAGAGTCTGGCGTGCTGATAGCATTTTCCCTTCTCTCTCCCTGTGTCCATAGCCTGCCTGCTCCAGGCTGAGCTGGTGAATTACGAGCGAGTCAAGGAGTATTGCCTCAAAGTCCTGAAGAAGGAAGGAGAGAACTTTAAGGCCCTTTACCGGTCCGGTGTGGCCTTCTACCACCTGGGAGACTATGACAAAGCACTCTACTACCTGAAAGAAGCGAGGACTCGACAGCCAACAGGTAAGGTGGCAACTGCTGTTTTTGTACCACCAGTCTCCTCTGGCAGCTCCAAAGGCCTTCCCGTTGTGGTGCATGCTGTCATGGCCGGCAGGGCCAGGCGTGGGCCGGGACCTGAAATGAGGAGAGTCAACAGTCCATGCATCTGCCTGGGGTCTGGGTCCCGGGGGGCTTGCGTACCCCTTTTCAGAGAGAATATGGAATTCTTTGTGTTTTTTTTCCAATCCAGAATCCAGCTCTCTCCACTTAATAACTACATATTGAATTTTTAGTTAGGTGCCGTGATTTGTGCTGGGCGCCAAGGACATAGATGAGAAGATGGAGCCCCTAACTTGTAAGGATCTCACACTCCAGTTGGCAGGACAGAATAGGAATGGCTACTCTTGGTGCTAAGCTCAGCATCTCCTAGAAGGCATGCTCTGACTTCTCTGGTCAGGTCCTGTTTCTTAGAGTCTGCATTACCTGGACCATTCACTCAAAGTCATATCCACCAGCTCAGCCATTCATTCATTCCACAGACATTTATGAGCAGGTATCATGGGTCAGGAACTATTCTAGGGGCTGGGTAGATAGCAGTGAACTAAAGGAAGCTCCCACCTTCGAGAAGTTTATGTTATATCGGAGGCAGATGGGCAGTAAACAGAGAGATAGATAATGTTACAGTTAGCCGTGGTAAGTGCTAGGAAGAAACTAAAGCCGAGTAAAAGAATCAGGAGTAAAGGGGCTGCTGTTTTAGGCCAGGTGGTCAGGAACAGCTTCTCGGAGGAGGTAATATTTATTTATTTATTTAATATTAATTAATTAATGATTAATTAATTTTAAAGATTTTTATTTATTTATTCATGAGAGACACACATAGAGAGAGAGGCAGAGACACAGGCAGAGGGAGAAGCAGGCTCCATGCAGGGAGCCCGATGTGGGACTCGATCCCGAGACTCCAGGATCATGCCCTGGGCTGAAGGTGGCAGTAAACCGCTGAGCCACCCGGGCTGCCCTCAGAGGAGGTAATATTTAAACAACGAGTTTGACTTGGTGTTACCATTGTTGTTCACAGAGGTGATTTTTTTAAAAATGTAATTATCCTTCCAAGAAGAATTTAAGAACTTCAGGATCAGTTTGCAAAATATCTGAATGTCTACTCATTTCTATATCCTTAAAGAATGCCCATATCTTTATTTTTATGTGTCATCAATTTGTTCTATGTTCTATACTATAAGCAACTTGAGGATTGAGAACTGGACTCATTTAACAGAATTTTCTTGAACACCTCCTATATATGCCAGCACTGTTCTGGATGCTACACCTGGCATTTTTGAGTATTAGCCAGCATTCATTTCTGCTTCCCAAAGTGTAACATGCCAGGCAGCCCCATAACCCTCATATTCGGGTGTGTGTAGAGCTAGGCCACTGACCCACGCCATGCCCTACTCACTAATTTAATGCCTAGAGTTGGAGGAAACACTTCCATTTCTGGTGAGGCGGTTGCCTGACCTTACTGATAAGGACAAAACTAAGACAAGGAAGCAAAGTCATTTTAAACTCTTCAACTAAAAAAATTTACATTCAATTAATATTTATTGCTCATGGCATGAAGCCCTTTTAGACTTTTCTGGTCTGATCCTCACAGCAGTTTTATGAAGAAGGCGCTATTGCTCCCCAGGAGAGGCAGGCTGCAGAGTCAGCTGCACCACTTAAGCATGCGTCTCCCTGGTGTCTCAATCTCCCCAAGGGCTCAGTTCTCCCTTCTGTCGCGGCCAGGATGAGGCTCCGTACTTGCAGGATTGTGATGAGGTTAAGTAGGCGATGAAGGTAACAAGCACAAAGTGGGTGTTCAGAAATGGAGGTTGTTTCCTGCCAAGGAGACGGGAGGCTCGGAGAAGTGGGTGACGTGCCTGAGGTCGAACGCCCAAGCAGGGTCCCCACCGGCTGCGCACTTGGAGCGCCCCTGGGGTATAGGCTGCTACAGCGACAGAAGCCCAGAGAGTCCCGCCCTCCTCTCCTTCCTGTCTGCCCCCTGGGACCCAGCGACTGCAGCTGCGAGGGGGCAGTGGAGGAGAGGGCTGGAGTCCAGGCGGCCCCCTCCCGTGCCCTGGACCTCAGCGGGCCACCATCTGCAGACACACCTCTGACCCGATTCTGTGTAGACCCAACAGTTGCCCCCACCGGGTGTTCCCTAAGGTGTGTCTCTCTCCTCGCAGACACCAACGTGATTCGGTACATCCAGCTGACGGAGATGAAGCTCAGCAGATGCTCCCAGAGAGAGAAGGAAGCCGTGTAACAGCACCTCCCTGGAGCTGGAGCTGGAGCTGGAGCTGGAGCTGGAGCTGGAGCTGCAGCCGTGCGCCAGGGCGGGGACCTCCAGGCCCTGGTGAAGGGCCTCTCCTGGGGTTTGTTCCCTTCTCCCCATTTCTTCCGGCTCCTCCTTCTTCCTCCTGCTGCCCTCAACAATCTGTCCGCTCCCTGTGTGAAAAGGAGACGTGCAGATTTGGGGTCTGGCGGGTGGCCTGCCATGGAGACTCCCCTCTCTGGTAGGGAGTGAGCTGCAGAGAGGGACCTAACTTCTTCAGGGACAGCTGGAGAGGACTCTTACTCGGGCTGAGCATGCTGTTGCAGCTTTGACTTTGGCCAGTGCTTCCGACAGAGACAGAGCCCGACAGGCACAACCACCCAAAGGCTGCAGCCCACGGCCGGATCCCTCCACACCTTCCGGACACACCAGAGCATCTCAAGGCAGCCGTGACAAATCCAGGGATGAGACAAACGCCAGAAGCATTGGTGTTTGTGAATTTGTACACTGGATTCCCCACGCCCAGCCCCGGTAACCTCGCCCCCTGCCTCCCTCCCTCCACTTGTTGTCTCGCCAGGGCTGGCTTCCCCCCCCCCCGCCCCCCCGGGGGATCTGAGACTGCCAGGATTCACATGCCATTGAAGCCCACTCTCAGTGCCCTCTGGTGACCACACATACCATCCTCCCGTGCTCCCACCCAGCAGGCAGCTGTGACAGCAGAGGGGCAGGGTGAAGCGGGCCAAGGCCTGAGCTCTACACAGGTGACGGAGGGGAGGGGAGAGGACATCTAGGGGAAGGAGCATTGTATAGCCTGGGGCTTTGAACTGTGGACTGAGTGAGTGTAAATAAAAATAAATTAACAGGCAGCAATTCCTGTCATTTCTGTGGGAAGCAGCCCACTCCCTCACTGTCACTCCCTCCCCCAACTCTGAGTCAGAGCTACTTACAGCCAGGCAGGACGGGGCTTCCCCCAAAGCAAGGGGCCATTTGTCCAGTGGTAAACAATGTTGGCTGCCGCCTTTGTGCATTAGAGTGGGCTGGCGTTGTGGGGACTGCCCAGGCACTTGGCTTTGTGGGAACTTGTACAGCCTCCCTTTGATGAAATTATCTGGACTCAATATCTCGCACATAGAATGTGTTCAACAAATATTTGTTGAATGAATAAGTTATGACTGCAGACTGGCTCTCCTGCCTTAAACTAATTTTATCCCAGCCTAGTCTCCTGATATCTATGCTCTTTACGCTCTGCCATGTTGCTTCAGTCAAATACGAAACATTTACTGAGGGCTTATTGTTTGCCTATCATTGTGCAATATGCCGTGGGACATAGGATGTAGTCCCGGTCTTTAAGGAGATGGAACAGTTGAGAAATACTCATATGAGATTATCACCAATGACACCTTTAATTTATATGATGCTTTAAATTTTTCAAAGCACTTTCGTGTATTTTTTGTGTGATTAGTGAGACAATATTGTACAAATTAAAATATATACAGATGCAATAATGTTAATAGTTAGCATTTATTAAATGCACTATCCTCAGACCCTTACATGTATAATCTCATTTCTTTCCTGCTATTACCCTGTGAGATACTATTCCCATTAGGTGGATAAGGAAACTGAAAACCAGAAACATTAACTCTCCCAAGGTTATATGGCCTTAAGTGACATAGCCAGGGTTTGAACCAGGTCTGTCTGACTCCAGAGCTCTAGCTACGAACTACGCTAAAGTTAGCTGCCGCTCTACAAAGTATTATATTGAGCCGATACAATCACTGGAGAGCAGGACAGTGCATATTAAGTTGAAGAGCCTTGACTATGCGAATGATGATACGTGGGCTGCCTCTGTATTTAGCCCAAGGTTAAAAAAGGTCCCTAACACCAGACTCACTAGTGGTCAGAGCAGTGACAGGCCAGGAAAAAGACAACTGAGACCTAGAAGTCATTTCTGTGTATTATTCATTCTACTTTCTGATGTCAGCGCCTATCCAAACCCACCTAGAGGTCCCCCCCCCCCAGCATTGGGCAAGGTTCACAATTATAGGTAGAGATTGAAAAGAAACACAAAGTTAATTATGGGTTCTTTGTGTAATCAGAGGCTCTACCTCTGCAGGAGTCAATCACTGCTGAGGGGCCCAGAAGCCAGCAGTCCAGGTTATATTCACATAGCTCCTGAAAGGCTTCCAACGGGGCTTCAAGAAGGTGCTAGAAATATCCAGGGGCCCACAGTTGCTTGCCTATAGCTCACTTCTGGGGAAGAGGAAAAGGAAAATGCTGTTATAGCTGCCACATTCTCCCCACCCCTACCATATCCTTCCCTCTGCTCTCTTCTTCCAGAATGGTTCCACACGTCCCCCACTCAGAACACTCCTGCAGCATACATAGCATAGGCAGATGTGCAAACTCCTCCTCCCCCCGCCTCACTCCCAAGCCTCCAGCCCAGAAAGCTTGTGAGTTGGCAAACTGCTTGTCAGGGTCTGAAGGATGAGGATGAAGTCAGAGGTGGACTGCAGAACCAGTTCAGAGTAGTAGGGTTTCCTTTGGTCTTCATACCATCAGGAAAGATCAGGCTATTCCCAAGATGGAGCAAGAGAGAGGTCTTGCCTCAGCTAGTAAATTGAGGCAGAGCTGGACAGATGGAGATAAGTTTGTCACCATCCCTCTACAGAGAAAGGTGGAAAACCAGCACCAGGTGAGGACAAACCTGGGCACAGGCCATCTGCCCATCTGGTGGTTCACTTACACATGCTTACTGGAATCCATTCACTGTGACCCAAAGTTAAGTGATCCCAAAGTAAAAAGTTGCCTGGGGGGTATTGTTCGATATTTGGGGTGGAGTGATTGAATTTGCTGTGCGTTTGTCCATCAGAGACTTCAGAAAGCTGTTAAGCAAAATCAAGTCTGTTCACCTCAGCAGACCTTCAGCTTCCTGTTTCCCATCCCTCTCCAAAACAGGGACCGTGATTTAATTACACGCTTTGTTTGCAGATGTCACTGCTGAACTATACCTGGAGCACTAATCCTGGAATTGACCTGCTTTGTCATCTCCTGCTTGGACTTTTGTGATAGACTCTCTGGGGAAAAAAATTATACTTTTCTCGCTATTGTCATGAAAGCTTCACATGTGTATTGTAGAAATTTTAGTGGGGGGAAGAAAAAGACAAACCCCAACCCATCATCCTATCACCCAAGACAAACATTGCTATTCTTTTGGACTTATTTTTCAGTTCTTTTTGGTATAAATGTACACATGCCATGCAGTTTTGTTTTGCTTTGTTTTTACAAAAACTGGATTACACTGTATATACTCTTTAGTAATTTACTTTTCAAAATGTGTATTTATATTTTAGATATGTAGTACATACACAGATACAAAATTCAAAAAGGACAAAAAGCCCTACAGTAAGAAGTAAATCTCCTTCCCACCCTGTCTGCCAGCATCTAGTTTCCCTCCAATTTCTTGTACTGTACATCCTTCCAGAAACATTTATGCATTTTCAAATATATGTGTATATATTCTTTTGTCACAAATGGTAGCATATCAGACACAATTTTTGCACCTTTTGCTACTTCACTTACTATATCATGAACGAAAAAATTTTTGTGCATCTCTCAAACTTTTTCAACAGCATCCTCATTATGCGGATAGACTCTCATTTTGTAATTGGTCTCCTTCTAGTGATTATTTCATTTGTTCCCATTCTCTATTGTAAATAATGTTGCAGCAGACATTCTTAGAGCTAAATTTTGCACACACCTATGGCTATTTCCTTGGGATAAAATCCAAGAAGGAAATTGCTTGGCTATCTTTAAGAATTTTGATATATGTTGCCAACTGCCCTCAGAAAGTTTGTACTAAACTTTACACTCTCCTATTTTCAGGCTTGAGAGTGCCCTGTTCCCTGCAACCTCACTAACAGTGGGTATTGTCACTTACCAAATCTTTACCAGTCCGGTATGAAAATAATAGTATGTCAATGTTATTTGAACTCACACTTCTTTGACTATTAGTGAATAACATCTTCAAATGCCTACTGACCATTTGTACTTGTTTATTTGTGATTTTTCTATTTATTTGATATTGGTATGTTTACCTTTATTATCAATATGTAATTTTATTAAGAATATTATTTTTGTCAAGAAACATTGCAAATAATGCTTTCCAAGTGCTTTGCTTTCAAATTTTGTTTATGGTGCTTTTTGACACACATAAATTCTTAATTCTGCAATTAATTTGTATCTCTGTTGCCAGCTCCTTCTGTCTATGGTTCACCCTCTTGTTTCCGTCAGAGTTCCCCTTCTAAAACACAATCTCATTATGTCATCCACAGCTTAAACATCTTTAGTGGCTCCTCACCATGTTTAGAATAAAGGCCTAAACTCAGCACAACACACAGGTCCTCCATGTAATTTCTCCCACTGACTCTTCCAGGCTCCCCTCCTGATCCTCTTCCAAAGGTACCCTGCAATCCACTGTTGCACAGCTCCTTGTGATTCCCCAAACCCATGACTCTGGGCCTCTGGGCCTTTCCATGCTATTCCCTCTGCCTAGCTGGCCAAGTTTTCAAGCAGTTGGCATCACTGCTTGAAAGCTTTCCTTGACCCCATGGTCTGTACTCCCAAAGCAACATGAACCTGCCTCTACCTAGCATTTGCTATAAGGAATTGGAACTTCCTGTTTATGTTTGTCTTGCCTGCTACCTAGATGTTCCTCAAGGCAGACACTGGGGTTTATTCATTCTTTGCAGCCAGAATCCTGAGCACAGTGCATGACACACAGTAAGTGCTCAATAAATGCTGAGCCCTGAACTTGGAATAGAATGAACAATGGATTCAGTGGCAAATGTTACTTGGAGAAAATGCAGGCTTGGACTGGCTCTGTGCTTCTGAGAACCAAGAAGCCCTGGGAGACTTGGGTTAAGAGAAGCCACGTGCTCCAGGGCTGTACTTTCCAGAACATCAGAATTACTTGAAGTGGCTTTTTAAAAATACATAATCTCAGCCTCTGCCTTAGATCCATTGAATCAGACGCCCACGGATAATACTCAAGATGCATACTATAACTTTTTTGACTTCCTAAAGTGTTTCTGACAACCAGCAAAGTGAATGAATGCTGTGAGGTAGACCAGCTGACAATTCAGAGCACTCAGCTCCACCATTTTTAAACACTTGATTTCCTGGAGTGGACGGATGGAGCTTTGTTTGAATACCAGCTTTGACATCCACTAGCTGTGTGACCTTGAGGCCATTGCTTGACTTTTCTGATCCTCATTTTCCTCCCGCATATATGAGAATAATTTTATATACTTTAAAAGGCCATTGGGGGGATTAAGAAATAACTGCCTCCTAGCTCAGTACCCTGCACAGAATAAGCACGGGATAAACATTCTTTTCCCTTCTCCTCTTGAGCCCCAGGTTCCTCAGTGATGTTATGGCTAATATCTTTACGTTCCTCAGTGATGTTATGGCTAATATCTTTACGTTCATCCTCCATTCTCCCACCCAGCACTCTAGAAGGAAGGAACTTCCTGTAGGCCCTCAGAGGACTCTCTCATCAAACAGGATGAGTACTTGGTTAGGAGGATGGGGCAGAGGAAGACACATGCTCTCTCACATGCACTCTCCTAACATGTCAGAGACTCCACAATAATCAGATGGAATAAATCTGCTGGTATGCAGAACCAAGTGTCTTCTAGTCACATCCAAAGATTAACCCAGTTTTCGTCCTGTGGTTCCATGCAGAGGCCAGTGGCTTCTGGGCTGCAGGAGGAAGGTGACCATCAGGAAAGAGTAGTCATAGCCTGTTTCCTCACAATGCCCTGGGATCCTACTTATATGCCTCAGGGCAAGAAAGAGAAAACTGGCT